CTTTTACAGCTGGTTCAGATCTGCTTTCAGATTGATTCTTTCTGGAAAGATATTCTTTAAAAATATGACAAATGCAAAACTGTTTTAAAATCACTATGTAAAATTCACCTTTAAAACAATATTTAAAAAATATTTCATATTTCTCTTTTGTGTTCCCAAAATATGAGGTAAACATGTAAGCACTGTACCACTAGTAAGATGTAGTTACAGTTTTTCTTGCTGTGACTCACTTTTCTGATCAGAATTGAAAATGACTTGTTCTGCCTTCAAATCCTTCAGTTACTTTTGCAAATCATTGGGCCATGTTCTGGTTTGTTTTTCCAAAGATCAAATGCTTTGGTACATTGTTTCAAATGTTTTAGTACAATTGTCTGCTCTTTCTTACGCTCTTGTGATTTAGTCAGACTGTTGAAAATGCATCATCATGGCTCTCATCTCTTTGGACAAAACAGTTAAATGTCACCTTATGTTTGGCACTATAGTCACCAAAATTATTCAGCAAATTATCTTTGGCATTTTCCAAACATAGAAGCTATAAGTCTTTATAAGATATACAGTGGCAAAAAATATACATAAAAACAATTATTCCCAGGGTCCTGGGCTCTGTACTTATCAACTGCTTCTGTTTGTTTGACTCTTAGAATTGTATGGAATGCAACAGAGATGGTCAATCAGTCATATATAGTAAACAACTACAAATCCTATTTTCTCTTTGACACATGTGATTCGTTTTTTTTAATGGCTTTGGCACAATTTCTGAAACTTTTCATAAATTCGGCAAATATTCAGCCTAAATGGTTGTTTATATTTAACACGTATTTACAGCATGTACGTGCGTACATATCTCAGAAACAGTGTGAGACTGGTCTTACAGGTCTCTGACTCACGCTACATGTCTATAAGAGTGGGAGCATTCTCCGGCCTGTCTGGATTAGTTTAGAAATCTGACAACTATGTCTGTATTTTAACCACCAATAGTTTTGCAAAATGTACAAAAGATTTGCCTGACTCATAAAAAGTTTCAGAAAATGTGTTAAAGCCATTGGGGGGGAAAAAAAATGAAAAAGCTGAAAATGAAATTAATGAAAGAGCACATACAAACACATGATTAAAGTCTAAGAGTTTCAATGGAAAAACTTGCTTTGGGGAATGATTGATCCATCCTGAGTGAAAAACTGCATTTTGCTGTCCCTGAAGTTTTCTATATTAACAAAGATATGCATTAAACATATTCTTTACTGAGACTAAAATGCCTCTGCAACTAACTGAGGCTCTACATTTTGAGACATGTATCTTGTAAAAGATACTTTATCCTATTTCTAAAACTGACAATTTTATTAAAATTAGTTTCAACTATTTTTACACAATTTGACAGACTTTGTAAAAAAGTTCAGCTAAGCCCATAGCCAAAGCACAGCAGGAGGCCAGGGTGATCACAGGGTTATGCTCTTAGCCTAACATCTCAAAAAGATGTTCTCACTGGTCAGATGCAGGAAGCCACTCTTTAAGAAGTCTGGCTGAGAGCCTAATGTAATCTCTTCATCGTATCCTCATGTCGTGCTTCGGTAGTGGAGCATAAATCACCACAATGGAGTAGTCGCTGATAAACTCTAAACCCGATAACCAGGTTTGACACAGGACGAGAGGAGCATTTTCCCATACGTCATGGAACACATGACGAGTCTTAAAGGTCTCATATTATGCAAAATTTATTCTTGTGAGCTTTGAGCCATGTTAGAATGCTGTTACCTCCTCAAAAACACACCCAGAATTGTGTTTTGTTTCATTCACACATGTTCGAGTAACCATTTATTTTTAGTCTGTCTATTTCTCCAAAGCTCAAAATGCTCTGTTGCACCTTGTGATGTCATGAAGTGGTAGTTTTCAAGTTAACAGCTATATTTTACCTTTTGTTCAACAGATATCTACAAATCCACAGCTGAAATGATCCTCTGTATGGAGTTTAAAAACACAGTGGAGTGCTTCCTGTATTGCCACATGACACACAGGTGGAATAGAGTTTTCTATGTGAAAGAAAAACTATATATGCAGAGTTTGTGTGCTAAACATGTGTGAATGAAACAAAACAACAAAACACAACGATGTATGTTTTTGATGTGGAAACAATAGATCAGAAAATAGCTCGATATCTTCTCTTTAAGCACCAACCACTGTGCCACTGCATCTGTTCTGAGACAAAACACTCTAACCCTGAACACCTTGGGCTGGAATTCTAAAGTCATCACCTAACTTGACCTCTGCTTGTTCCGAGTGCTCCTACAGGGGTTACAAACACCACAGTGGGGAGATATCATGCTCCGCTTACCTAACCTTCTAATTGTGACCTCCAGACAATGGATGGGCTGAGAGACACATGGTAAATGCTGCTGTCAGTGGCCTAACACATCCTCAAAGGGGTCTCAATATCATTAGCCATTACTTTATGATAGACCGGCTCAAGCACTAGTTTTAAGAACCTCAGCCTGGTGGAATCAGTCCAACCGATATGGGTATAAAGTGTAGATTAATCATTCAATGAAATATTACAATTTTTAATTATAATGATAAAATTGTTCACAGCATGAACAATCAAAGTACAATTTACAAATATCTACTTGAGCTATTGTTGTGTATGTGCTCTCCCTGGTCCCTCCCCTCAAAGAAACCAATGCAATCTTGTGTATTTAAGCCTGCACAGCCCACAGACACCTGGCATGTGTAACTGCCACATGTGCATGCCTTCTTAAATGGCAGCAAACTCTACTCTTAATGTGACAAATGTCTGCAGTAATTCTGTAATATTGCCTGGATCCTTTAGGACTACACTGTTAAGTTTTGTTTTTGGGACCATTTCTGTTGTAATAATGTGTGGAAACCTGCTTGTTATGATGGCTATTATTTACTTTCGACAGCTCCAAACTCCCACAAACTACCTGGTCCTTTCTCTGGCTGTCTCTGACCTGCTTATTGGAGCTGTTGTTCTGCCCTTTAGCACTGTTTTGTTTGTAAATCCCTGTTGGCATCTTCAAGGAATTGTTTGTAACGTGCGTGCTACATTCGATATAATGCTCTCTATGAGTTCAATATTTAATCTATGCTTCATTTCTATTGACAGATACTATGCAGTGTGCCATCCTCTAATCTACAGATCCAGAATTACTTTTCAGATTGTTGGAATTATGATCTTTATCACATGGACTGCTGCAGTGTCATGTGGAGTCGTTATCACCATTGGAGGGAAGGCACGAGGAAAGGCAGAACAAAGATGTGCATTTTTTCGAAATTCAAGTCTAAATGTTATAGGCAGTTTTACTGGGTTGTACATTCCTGCCATTATAATGTTTCCGATTTACACAAAGATTCTTCTTGTGGCTCGGAGACAGGCACGCAGCATCCAGAGCACTAATTCAGGTGTGGCAGTGAGCAGAATGGAGAGAAAGGCGACCCGCACTCTGGCCATCGTGGTTGGGGTCTTCCTCTTCTGCTGGGCTCCTTTCCTCATCTCCATGACCTGTTTGCCTTTTATTGATTACACAGTTTCTGATTCTGTATTTGAAGCTTTCAAATGGTTTGGATGGTCAAACTCCGATGCTCAACCCTTTCATCTATGCCTTCTTTTACAGCTGGTTCAGATCTGCTTTCAGATTGATTCTTTCTGGAAAGATATTCTTAAGAAATTTAACAAATGCAAAACTGTTTTAAAACATTTTTAGACAGCACATGTATAAGATATTTTAGAAACATTAACATTAGCCTTCAGTGTCCCCAGATGTGGAGTAAACATGCACAAATTGTGAGTGAGATCTTGTAAAAAATACTTATAATAATGTGCAGTGCGTTGTATCCACATGTACACCTGTGTAAGGCAGCTTTTAGTTGTTAGTTGAACTAAAAATAATAATAATAATATCAAGAAGTAGAACTGGATCATTTTTTTATGTGAATATAATATGAAATTTCAGTAATTGTCTATGTAGTCTTTTGCAAAATGTGTGTGTTTAGAGCTAAGTGCACATTTCTCTGAATAAAAGTAAATCCAGTATTTGTGACTCACCTGTGTATTACCACCTAAATACAATGTAGAAGAGATTACATTTTTTCTGATATATGGTTGATCAACCATGATGGTCAGCAATGTTCTCTCTAAGGTTCGCTCGTGCACGATCTCGCACTGCCCAGACGTTCAGAGCACACATGAAATTCTTTGCAGTGCATAAAATATAATCTAACCTAAACCAGTGGTGCAGCATTTTCGGCAGCACAGCCGCTGTGATGGGGCCCATGGCACTTTGGGGGTGCCCATCACTTACTTTTTTGTTGGATTTTGCTCACGGGGGTCCAAGGAATACCCATTTACTTAGACACATGCATTTACTCAGACACATGAAAAATGTGGGGAAACATTGACAGTCAGCATAGTAAATGTTCACTAAAGACATTTTAGTGATCTTGGGACAAGTATTATAACTATAGTAACAGTGGATGATAAAGCTAATGGCAAGTGATTTTGGTCATGCAACATGTCCATTTACATTTCTGTCCTTTTAGAGATTTTATCAAGGATAAGACAAATAACATGCAACTGCATTTTTTTGTTTTGTCGCCATGTTTGCTTCTGTTAGTTTGGCGCTGGCTTCTGCACAAACCACAATGCTGCTCTCTTACAGGTCCAGCACCACTGGTGGTTCAGGTCCTATCTAAAGCCAGGGCTTCAAGACTGATTCTCAGAAGTCACAAAAATCTTACAAGGTTATGTTGTTGTAGCCTGATTCATCAGCTGGTTTTACTTCATGGAAACCGTCTGACTTTGCAGCATTAGGATTTGTTTGCTCGACAGTCGGCGGGTACTTTAGGCTAACAGGGCTAACTGGTATATTAAGCTTTTCCCAAATCCCGTAGGAAGACTCTTTGTTCGGGCTTTAAATCCTAACCTCGATTGAAGTGGTGGGTTTTTCTTCATACAAATTCACTAAAATCACCACGATATCAGCACCTGTGAAATGGCAGAGATGCACTCACGTAGACTGTCAGGTAACCGCAAGTGAAAGGACCGACACAGAACTCCGCGCTTCATGGGGCTAACCGCAGCTGACGCCCCACACCCTGCTCCACGGGTGTGGGGTTCTCTCAGGGGTGGTCCTAGATTCCAAGTTCTAGTCCAAGATTAGTCCTGGTTTGGTCCTGGTTTAGTCCTTGCTTAAACTTGGTTTAGTCCTGGTTCAGTTCTGGTTTAGACCTGGTTCAGTCCTGGTTCGGCTCTGGTTTAGTACTAGTTTAGTCCTGGTTTAGACCTAGTTTAGTCCTGGTTCAGTCGTGATTTAGACTTGGTTTAGTCCTGGTTCAGTTCTGGTTTAGTCCTGGTTTAGACCTGGTTCAGTCCTAGTTTAGTCCTGGTTTAGTCCTGGTTCAATCCATATACGGCACAAAAGTTCAGTATCTTCGCACTGTTATTTTGGTGAGAATAACTTAAAATGCAATAGTAATGTAATGCCTTACATTTTAAATGTAGTAATATTATAATGTAACAAATTACTTTGAAATGACAATAACAAGTAATAAATAATACATTACAGTTTTGAAATAACTTGCCCAACAGTGTTCAAGACCTAGTCGCCGGAGAGAAATGAAATTGAGTGCAGGCACTAGGTGGTGCCAGCCTGGCTAATGTTGTTGTAGCTCCTGGTGTAAATTCATTGTTATAGTAGTTACTAACTTTGAGTCAGATTTTATATATAGTTGAAAGCAATTTGAACACTCAAACCAGTTCAAAACAATGTGTAAACCTTAAAAACACAAAGGGACCATAGAGAAAATCCAATGAAATTAAGTATTTTAATCTCTCAATTATACTCATGTGTGAATTAAACTGTGAAAAACATACCATATGAGTCAGTTTAAGTTACAGTCATACTAATTTACATAACTGCTGCCTAGTGGTCTTCATTATGAGAAAAATTTCACTCATCCAATCAGTGAGCTCCCAGCATCACAGTTGCTTCACATAAAGAGTCCAGAGTGCAGCGACCTATGCAGAGTTGCCAGGGCTGCTTTTTTCATTGAAGCTGGTGCTATAGACTTGAGAGGGATACTGATGTAATGTTTTGTATTATGCTCTTCTAAGTTTTTCTGGTTCATTTTCTGCATGGAACTGCTCATCAACCAAACCACTTTCTGTGCAAATTGGGAAAATGAACCAGCAGATAGTAGAATTCAGTTGTTATGTTTTGTTTTAGGGACTTTAGCTGCAGTAACGATGTGTGGAAACTTGCTTGTTATACTTTCTATTATTTACTTCAAACAACTCCATACTCCCACAAACTACCTGGTCCTGTCTTTGGCCATGGCTGATCTACTTGTCGGGGTTGTAGTTATACCTTTTAGTACGGTCTTGTTTGCAAACCCATGCTGGTATCTCCAAGATATAGCTTGCTTCCTACGGGGAGTATTTGATATCGGACTGTGCTCTGCTTCAATACTGAACCTATGCTTTATTTCTATTGACCGATATTATGCTGTCTGTCAACCTTTAAGCTACCGAACCAAAATTAATGCCTTTGTCACTGCCATGATGATTTTGATCACGTGGATTGTTTCGATTGTCTGTGGGATAGTCTTGACGCTCGGTGGACGAAAGATCGAAGGAAGATGTGCTTTTGTCCAGGGTTTGAATCTAGGTGCTGTTGTTGCCATCATTGCATTTTACATTCCCGCCATTATAATGATTACAATATACTTAAAGATTTTCCACGTGGCTCAAACACAAGCTCGAAGCATCCACAGCATGCACACAGGAGAGGGAGTGAGTAAAATGGAAAGAAAAGCCACTCGCACTCTCGCTATAGTAATGGGAGTGTTTTTCCTTTGCTGGTCTCCAATGGCTCTGTGTAGCACTTTTTTATCTTTAAAGAATTTCAAAGTTCCTCTAAGTGCTATGGAGGTTTTTAAATGGTTTGGATGGTCCAACTCGATGCTCAACCCCTTCATTTATGCATACTTTTATAGTTGGTTCAGGTGTGCATTCAGAATGATACTTTCTGGGAAAATATTTAAGGGAAAATATACCAATGCTAAACTATACTGAATACATAACGGTGTATGTGTAAACAGTCTTTATTTGAAGATTGTTGAATAGATATTGTAATGCATAATTATAAGGTGCAGTTTATAGCAGGTGAAGTTTACTTTTTGATTATGTCCACTGTGTAAAAGGTGTCACAACAATCACTGATTATAATCACACTGTCTGCATATTTTCAATATTTTACTTAAATGCTTTATGCTTCAAAATGTGAATGTTTTTGGAAATGTGTTTCTTGTACATTCATTTAATTGTACAATGTTTTAATTTATGTTTTAATTGTTTGATCAAAAACCAGTCTCATAGTCACCTAAAAAGTATGTTATAGAATATCTTTTACAATAATATAGAGCCATGAATGTGTTAAATCGATAGGGCCTTTAAGGTGTATAACTGTCTATTGCATTCTAATTGAATAAAATGATGACTTTAAATGCTGAAATATGATTTCCTTATGACAAAAACTACAAGCAACTACTAACAGTGGGTACATACAGTCTCTGTGACAAACCAATCTGCACTTATATCACATACTTCTGAAGGTTGTGGAGAACGACTGAGCCAAGGTCCAGGGACTTCCAGATCCAGAATGACAGAATGGTGTCTGATGGTGACAAACAGCAGAGGAAAGCCATTGTGGTGGACATTGCAATAGCATGTGATAGGAAGATAAAGAAATGGGCGAAATACTATGGCTGGCCCTGGAGAAGGCCTGGAAGGTGAGGCTCGTGGTCACTGGAGCACTTGGGGCAGTAACTCCTAAACTGGAGGAGCTAGAACAGATCCCAGGAAAAAAAATAAAAACATCAGACATGTCAGAACCCTCAAGCTCCCAGGCCTCTGATAGAGGACCCGAGCTTGGAAAAAGAATGAGACCAGCCACGGAGGGCGAGAAAGGAATTTTGATATATAAAATGTATATGTTTATATGCAGTGTAACTGTGTATACATTCCAAGAATACATATTCTGAATACTAATTGAATAACTGTATTCTGACACAATTATTGGTGATATTCATAACACTCTTACTTTTTTTTTTAAATCAAAGCAATACTTGACAGTACTTAATCACAAAATGTAGGCTTCAGACTGCACATAATCATTGAGAAAAATAGAAAACACAACTCTTGCGGTGAGTGCATTTTTTCTTCTCCAAACAGTGATAACAAACATAAAGCTGTTTTTAATCCTGTGTGGCTTTTTATTCATTAAATTAAATGCAACTCTATGTAAAAGTATTCTAAGTAGAATACAGTACTCTGATGGACCATGTATCAGCATATGTTACAAAATACATCCTAAAGCAGGTATTTAGTATTCTGTAGCTAAATACATTTTCACAGTATTTTTCCTATCACTGTTTATATACAGTTCTGTTTTGCTGTGGTAAGACAACTTTTAAAAACAACTTGCAAACAAACTCAGACAAAATTCCCCTGGTAGTTTAAGGTAATGACCTCAGGCTGCTTTAAGTATCCCATTCAAGCACACAGGCTCACATGAAGCAGGTATGCAGGGTGCCTGTGACTACCTGGTGTTTCCATACTCTGTACTGTCTGTAGTAGTAGTTGTATTTGATGCATGGACCCCACTCTTTTTCTCAACAACACCAGTAGCGGTTTGTGCTCTCCAGCCATCATATCTTCCCTGATATGTTTACTTATAGGAACCTTAGCATCGGTTACTTTGTGTGGTAACTTGCTTGTGATAATCTCCATTGTTTACTTCAAACAGCTCCAGACTCCCACAAACACACTGGTGCTGTCTCTGGCTGTGGCAGATCTTCTCGTGGGAGCTGTGGTTTTACCTTTTAGCCTTGTTATAGCTACAAATTCATGCTCGCAAATTGAATATTTACTTTGTGTCATCCGGGGAGCTTTTGATATAACCCTTTGTGCATCGTCTATTTTAAGTTTGTGTTCTATTTCTATTGACCGTTACTTAGCTGTGTGTCAGCCTTTACGCTACAAAAACATAGTCACCTTTAATGTCTCTCTGATCATGATTGTTGTGGTATGGACTGTTTCGAGTGTATGTGGGATTGTAATGACGGTTACATGGAAAGCTGAAGGAGAATGTTCAATTATGAAGGGTTTCAAAACAGCAGTAATCGCATCTTTTTTAAGCTTCTGTACTCCTGTGATTATAATGGTAATACTTTATGCTAAGATTTTTTATGTTGCTTGGAAACAGGTCAAAAACATCAATTGCATTCATGTGGGCAAAGGAGTCGGTAAGATGGAGAGAAAGGCCACCCGCACTCTTATGATTGTAATGGGAGTATTTATTATCTGCTGGACTCCGTTTGTGTTATTAATAACAGCAATGCCTTTTGTGGAGATAGATGAGCCTTCCATAGTATTGGGGTTCAAGTGGCTGGGCTGGTCAAACTCTATGCTCAATCCTTTTATTTATGCTGTCTTTTATAGCTGGTTCAGATCTGCTTTCAAACTAATTCTAAATGGGAAAATATTCAAAGGGGATTTTACAAATGCCAAACTTGTGTAACTTGCCAGTGCATTTTGGGAATCTCATTAATCTCATGTCCATTAAGGGTGTTTTAACTAGATTGATTACAGTGAACTCAGTTGTAAATCTGAATTTAAATTCAATTTAAATGTTTATAAAGTATGCTGTAATTTGTTCTTGTATCGATCTAACACACTGACACATTGCTTCTAGGCAAGGCAAGGCAAGGCAAGTTTATTTGTATAGCACAATTCGTACACAAAGTAATTCAAAGTGCTTTACAGAATAAGAAATACATTAAAATCATAATAAAAAATAATCATGAAGATTAAAATTAAAAAAGAGAGACATAAATTAGAGAGAAGAGTGCGGAAAACCTTTCAGTTATATGCACAGTTAAACAGAAATGTTTTGAGCCTGGATTTAAACAGCATCACAGAAGAGGCCTGTCTCACATGTTCAGGAAGACTTCTAGGACCTAGAGGACACCCTACCCTCTTCTGGCGAGGGGTGGTACTGCATTCTCAGTCAATTAAGTTGATTTGACACATCATATGTGAACATGAAATAGCCTGATGATGTCATGAGGACTGGTGTTTTTCATTTTGGTCAGATCAAAATCCACTTTTAATGTCATGCTGCGATTTGTGTAAACTTTGTGTAAACTGATAGTTTAGGATTTGCCTTAATTATATCTAATTATTATATGCAAGGTAGCCTATGTAATTTAATGTATGTTTGTATCCATCCATCCATTTTCTTTGGCTTATCCAGGGCCAGGTCGCAGGGGCAGGGACTAAGCAGGGACTCCCAGACTTCCTTCACCCTGGACACTTCCTCCAGCTCCACTGGGGGGACCCCAAGGTATTCCCAGGCCAGCCGAGAGACATAGTCCCTCCAACGTGTCCTTCAGGGCCTCCTCCTGGTGGGACATGCCTGGAACACCTCCCGAGGGAGGTGCCCAGGAGGCATCCGGAACAGATGCCCGAGCCACCCCAACTGGCTCCTCTTGCAGCAGCTCTATTCTACTGTATGTTTGTAATTCTGCATAAATCCTTAAACTCCAATGTGCAAAATAAAAATGCATATATTAATACAATAAACATAAAAATGTATTAATTATTTTTCAGCAATTGAATGACAGCCCTGTCAATAGAAATTTGGGGGCCTGGGACTCACATGGCCCCCTATATAAATTAATAGGAATTCTGGGCCCCTAAAACCGTGGGGTTAGTCTCCCCTGTCTACTGCCATAACTATTAACATATATAGTCACATAGCACTTTTCTAAATGCCCAAAGACACTTTAAGGAGACAAACAGATATGATGTGGTGGGGATGTGGTATAAAGGGTGGATGTTAAAGGGCCCATATTGCGGTATTTTCTGATGTGTTTTAATGCCGTTTTCTCATCACAAACTGGAATTGTGTCTTGTTTTTTTCTGCACGTTTAACACACAAACCCTGCATATTTAGACTAGTTATTTCTCAAAAGGAAAACACAGACCACCTTGTGATGTCATGTGGTATTACAGGAAGTTTTCCACTGAGTTTTTAAATGCTATTAGCCTTCATTAGAACCATTTGGATAATTTCAGATCTGGAAATGCCAATCTCTACTGAGCAAAAGGTAAAAGGAACCCGTTAACTTGAAAACTATGTCTACTTCATGACATCACAAGGTGGAGCAGGGCATTTTGACAGCATAATAATGGTTACTCAAACATTCGTGAATGAAACAAATCTCATCTCCACATATGTTTTTGAGGGAAAAAAAGGAAAGCAAAAATAATGTGGAAAAATTATAATTATGTGGATGGTGGTCCAGAGACACGTTAGACAAGCTATGCAAGTTTCAAACCATAATTTTAATCTTAGGAGCATAGTCAGTTAATATAGTACACACACACAAGCATGAGCATGTTTTTTTTTTTTTTTTTTTTTATTAATCAAAAAGACAAGGTAATGATGTCAGTTAACTGTAAAAACTGCTAAAAAAAATAATGAACAGGTTTCACGTCTGCCATCAGCTGTTAAAAAAAGAAATAAACTTACAGATGGTAGCTTTAAATTGAACCTAAAGTCAAAACTTTACAACTCTAGCTTAATTTCTCAATTCAAGTTATTTTAGGAGACAATAGATATTGAATCTTTTCAGTGTAGTGCTTTTTTGTAAGAATTACTTTTTGTCTCGTCTAAATGAAAAACTTTGTCATGCATGCATCTTTACCCCTCCCTTTGAACAAATATTTTGCTGTAATGTGGTTACAACATAATTGATTTTAAATGTATTAAGATCAGTACATATTCACCAACAGAACAGAGTGTCTGTTTAGATACCAACTGCTGAAAGAACATATGAGAACATCTATCTCACTCTGAAACCATCAGACAGTGCCATACTGGTCCTGCAGGTCTCTAACTCAAACTACATGTCTAAAAGTGTGGGAATATTCTCTGGCCTGTGTCTGGATGATGGTCACAAAAGTTTATAAATCTGTGTAAAAATAAAACTGTGCCTATATTGTAACCACAAAGTGTCCTTTTTTACAAGAGCTTTTTACATTTTGTTCACAAAGAGTGCAAAAGGTTTGCCAGATTTATAAAAAGTTCCAGATTTGTCAAAGCTACTGAAAAATAGTTTAATACAGTATCAGCAACAGTGAAGCATGCACTTAAGAAACATGTGTGTCCGTCCCCTGGAGAGCGTCATATATTTCCCTGATGGTGAATGTTCATATATTTCTCTGATGGTGACTGTCCCTTCATAAAATCCCGCGAAGACAGACAGCAGACAGACGGTTAGAATAGAACGCTGTTTTTTTGATTGACCTGTTGTGTATGTATGGATTCTATCCTCTCTGACAATAGCACTATAAACAATATCTGTACTCCTCCACAAAAGACTTTTATCACTTATTTTATATGTTCAGCTTTGGGGACTATTGCTGTTGTAACTATGTGTGGTAACCTGCTTGTCATATTTGCAGTTTTTTACTTCCGACAGCTGCACACGTCGACCAACTACTTGGTTCTATCTCTGGCTATGGCCGACCTGCTTGTGGGGACCATAGTTTTGCCTTTTGGCATCCTCCTGTTTGCGAATCCATGCTGGCCTCAACAAGCAGTACTGTGCAGAGTGAGGGGAGGCTTTGATATCATGTCATCTATCTGCTCAATCTTAAATCTATGCTTCATTTCAATTGACAGATATTATGCTGTGTGCATGCCTCTGAGTTACAGATTGAAAATGAATGCCTATGTCACTGCAATTATGATTTTAATAACTTGGGTGATTTCTGTTTTATGTGGGATTGTGATGTCAGTTGGTGGACAAAAACAAGAAACAAGATGTGCTTTTTTCCAGAATTTAAACTTGGGAATAATTGCAGCAGTGGTAGCCTTCTACATACCTGTTATCATAATGTTTACACTCTACATCAAGATATTCTTTGTGGCACAAAAGCAGGTTCGAAGCATCCATAGCATGCAGACAGGAATGGGTGCAAGGAAAATGGAAAGGAAAGCCACACGGACACTGGCGATAGTTATGGGAGTGTTTGTGTTTTGCTGGAGTCCTTTTTTCATCTGTGTTACGTATTTGCCGTTTAATAATTTCAAAATTCCTCTTTCGCTGATGGAGACGTTTAAATGGCTCGGATGGGCAAACTCAATGCTCAATCCGTTTATTTATGCATTCTTTTACAGCTGGTTCAGATCCGCTTTCAGAATCATTCTCACAGGGAAAATATTTAAGGGGAATTACACCAATGCAAAGCTGCTCTGAGTAAAATGAACTCACTGTTGACACCTGCATCAGAGTCCGGCTGCATTTGTTGAAATATGGACACACGCACATGAATCAGATAAAATACATGCTTTTTCACTTTTTGAAATGACATTGAAATTGAAACATTGTAAAAGTGTGCTCTAAATGTTTGCTGTATTTGACATCATAATGATAATCCTGATGTAGCTCCTTCACAGCTTCTGTTGTAAAAACTTTGTCAGGACAGTTTGGTGGTGTCCATGTTCAGCCTGAATGACCTCTGACCCCCAAGTTTGAGAATCTTATGCGCTGTGGGTCCGATTACTTTGATTACTCATTCTAAAAGTAATCAAACTACTGCTTTTGATTACTTTATTTCAAAAGTAATTTGATATAAGTTACTTATAGTAAAGAAAACTGAAACATACAGCTCAAGAACCAACTGAACAAAAATTCTTCATGATAACGACCCTTCCTGTTTGGGTCATTTCAAACATGGGTCACGCCACAGTCGTCCATAAAACAATATTTGTACTGTTTTGTTTAAAAAGTAGAAATTACATTCTATTCAAGCTACCCCTGTCTGTCCAGCAGAGGGCAGTGGTCCTTCAATTGTGCTAATTTAAAGGAAAAATGTAATTCTCCAATTAAATTAAACCTACTTTAGTCACTCCGTTTTATAGTTGTTGTTTTTTTTCCTTAAAAAAAAAACAAAAGAACATGATAAATACATGTTAGTTAGATATCTGTTTTGTCATTTGTGCCAAATGCCATCTTATTGAGCAGGCTCTGGTGCAGGTTAAAACACTTAACTCTTCAAAACTGGTTGCGCAGATGACCCATGTCTATTATTATTATTATTATTACAGTCTTCATTCTGTCACACAAGCATCACTCTATTTTAGGGTAATAAAGATTCAGGTTTTCATTTTGGTGCTATTAAATACACTTAGAATTTTTTTTATGTAACAACAACACAATATCAAGACAAACGAGAAATTCTATTTGTTTGGTCGAATACATTTCGCAGCTCATCCAAGCTGTTTCTTTAGAGCTGAAGAAGCAGCTTGGATGAGCTGCTAAACATATTTGACCAATTAAACTGACAAATTGACAAATAGACAAATAATTTCTCCTTTGCCTTGGAGTCTACTTGGATTCACACAACACAATATCAAGTTGAAATGTGCACAATTTGTTACTGATATCTTTGTGTGATTTTCTTTGCAACTGCATGTGATGTATGTCATTTGAATGGTGTAAAGATTAGTCTTGTATTGCTTTATAAATCCTTAAACATCACATTTCAGCAAAATAATAATAAAAAAATAATAATACAAAAATAAATAAAACCATTTAGGTGTGATCATTATATTGAGCAATTCAATGACAACATTGTAGTTTATTTGGGCTTTCTTTACAGTTTGTTTACATGACGTGTATATAGAAGCATACATAACCCAAAAGAAGTAGGCTCCCTTCACATTATCCACAGTGACCATGTGTCTGTTTATGGATGTGAGTGAAATCCATCCCAGCCACATTCACACAACATCCATCTTCTACTCTTAATCATCTTTTACATGTTTTAAGTAAATAAAGTCTTGTTTCTGAACTGTAATTCTTGAAGATACTTATTTTATATAGTTTTTCTTATCTTCAGTGTATCTAGGTTTATTTCCTATTTCAAGTACAAAAAGACTTAGAGATTTTTCTTGTCAAGTGAAATTTACTCAGATCAGTGTAACAGTTCAAGTCAAGCTCAAGTCATTTTAACTTGGCAAGATTTTAGTTTTTGTAGTGCAGAAATGTATACTCTTTTACACATAAATTTTCACATCATAATTTTTGTTTTTGATACGTTTAATGATAATTTTGTATAATTCTGCTGTAATTTCAGTTGCAAGAGACTGTAGATCTTTTCCAAAACATAAGACTGTGGCATCATCTGTGGATAGTATGAATAATCAATATTAGAATAATAAATATAATGTAGTAATTCCATTCAATGAATTCACTGTGCTGAACAAATCCCGAATGCTAAGCGGCTGTGTGTTTGTATTTGATTTCGTGTTTCTAACTGACATAGTTCCCAAGTGAGTTTTTTCTATCCACAACTATAGGATGTAAACAGCTGTCGTCACTCCTCTCCAGTGAATATGGTAATAAGGTTGGATTTTATTATTTAACATGAGCTTGTTGTCATTCAAGACCACTTCACTTTGCTTTACTTTTTTGGGGTCAAGTAAACTTTTCTTTCAAAACTTAATCTTGATTTTGGTTGAGTGTTGATGTATGGATTCTCCTCTCTCTGCTAACAGCACTCATAATATTTGTGCTGTTTCTGTAAATGTCATAACCTTTTCTCATTATATTCTATGTTTTGTTTTGGGTGTTATAGCAGCTCTAACTATGTGTGGAAACCTGCTTGTAATAATGGCGATTATTTACTTCAGACAGCTCCACACTCCCACAAACTACTTGGTGCTTTCTCTCTCTGTTTCTGACCTCTTAGTGGGAGTCATAGTTTTGCCTTTTAGCATTTTTCTATCTCTGAATCCATGTTGGTATCTTCAAGGAATTCTGTGTAAAATCCGAGGCGTTTTTGATATTTTACTTTGTACTTCTTCAATATTTAACCTGTGCTTTATTTCTATTGACAGGTACTATGCAGTTTGCCAGCCTCTTAGCTACAAAAGCAGAATTAACGTACATGTTATCGTAGTCATGATTTTGGTCACATGGACGCTGTCATCTTTTAGCGGCAGTGTCATCACAGTTTGGGGGAAAAAACGTGGAAATTCAGAAAGATGTGTTTTTTTCCAGAATTTGAATTTAGCCGTAATTGGGGCGGTCTTCTCCTTTTACATCCCTGCGGTTATTTTAGTTGCAATTTATGTAAAGATTTTCCTTGTGGCGTACAGACAAGCGAGGAGTATCCAGGCGGCGAAGTCTGGAGGAACTGTCAGCAAAATGGAAAGGAAGGCCACCCGGACATTAGCTATCGTCATGGGTGTTTTTCTCCTCTGCTGGACTCCCTTCTTTTCATGCGTAACCTCTCTTCCTTTCAATAATTATAACATTCCTCTGATTGTAGTGGAGACCTTTAAGTGGTTTGGATGGTCCAATTCGATGCTAAACCCCTTCATATACGCCTTCTTTTACAGCTGGTTCAGATCTGCTTTTAAAATGATTCTTTCTGGGAAAATATTTCACAAGAATTTAGCCAACGTAAAGCTCTTTTAGCTTCATGTGCTTGTATTTTAGTGTGATTTGTAATGGCGCACTATGTAATTTTTCTGCATTAGGCGCACGTGCTGCTTGTTTTGATGGAGATGCAACTTATCTGTGTTATTATCTATGCTTTTATTTAATGACAGGGATTTTATTGCTCAAAGAAATACCGTAATAAACAAAAACAGATCTGATGTGTAACTTAGTTTTGTCACACCACCAGAAAAGTTACAGAGTGAATCTTTAATTTTAATTTTACTTACGCATCTGTCTTTTAAACATGTGCACTAAAAGATAACTAAATAAAAGTGAGAGGTCCAGTGCTTGTATTTTTGAAAACAAATCCTAAAATGTTTTTTTTTACATTGTGGTAAATGAAGGTTCTTGTATTGTCAACAAAGTATGGGCGCACTCCGACATATTTCCATGTGATAGTACTATTTGTAAAAGCATAATTTATATATAAAAAATATGCACACAAAGACATTTTATTTTCATTTACAAAAAAATATTAAAATAGTTGTTTTGGATAAATAAATCCACCTATACAAATAATGTCATATTGGGTTTATAAGAAGAATAAGGAGGAGAGATTCACAGTTAATTAGCAGCTTTAAAAACAATCCTTTTGTTACTCAGACTTCATGTGCAAGTGAATAATTTGATTATTCATGAAGCATCATTCTCACATACAAACTACATAAAAACTATTTTGGCATACAGACAAGACTCTCTGCATTTGTAATTCTTTATGAATAAGAGAGCTCATTTTGACCATTTTTACTTGTGATCAAATTTGTATTACAACGACATATATCCACCGTTGGGAAGTAACTGAATACATATACCGAGAATAACGATTTTGAGTAACTGTATTCCGGTACAGTTACTATTTCATTTGGTAATATTCAGAATACATTTACTTTTATAATATCATAGGAATACATACAGGAAACTGCACAATATTACTGAGAAAAATAGAAAACACTTCTCTTGAGGTGGTGCATGTACAAGCTTTCCTTCCCCAATTAGTGATAAATAAATGTGTAACAAATGGCTAAACAAACATAAAGCTGTTCTTAATCCTATGTTGCGTTTTACACCATAATTTAAGTGCGAGTTAATGTAAAAGTACTATAAGTATTCAGTATGCAGTACTCTGGCCCATGTATCACAATACATTACAAAATACATTTTAATGCAGGTATTCAGTATTCTGTAAATTAAATACATTTTCATTCTAGTATTCTTCCCATCACTCCATATATTCAATACATAAGGGCTTCTTTTAGTCTTTGTACATGGGCATTCCTGGTGTTGATGGTCAGTGCAACTTTAATATAGAGTGTGGTACATTCACTGTAATTCAGTACCAATAAGTATGAATGAATTGTTGATTATGATGGCTCCTCAAAAACAAACATTAAAGTGCATCATTTAATATCCTTTACATGCCTGTCTCCAAGGAGATTCGATTGTTTCACCTGTAATGTTCCACAGTCCAGTATAGAAATAAAATGATCTCTCTTGTTCAGCTACAGGTTTTGGTATTTTTAATGTTCAAAAATCCCTAAGTTCAACAGATCTGATCTTTTACTTGCTCTACTAAGGTTTAATGGCATACTGTGGTAGCCAGGCTGGTGCCACCTTGTGCCTCCGCTCAATTTCATTTCTCTCCAGCGGACTAGGTCAGGAATCAGAATACACTAGACGGTTCACAAAAACCCTGGAAGTGCAAGTTCGGGCACCAGCCAATCAGCAAAGAGCCATACATTCTGTGTTGTCAACGATTCCTGAGATCGAGGATTTAATGCTGGAACAAAGAGAATGTTTAGTGAATTTTATCAAGGGGAAAGACATTATTGCCTTTCTTCCTACGGGATTCCTATGTCACGACCAAATAAAAAAAGTACTCGCCTACCGTTGAGTGAACAAATTCTAACGTCAGACAGTTTCTACGAAGTGAAACTGGCTGATGAATCAGGCTAATACTGTGGAACATTTCTGGTAAAACAATAAAATCTCCATGGGAACAAACAGGTTGCGGACCTCCCCCAAAAAGTTACATGGTGCCCCTTTAAGACCCCACAGTGAGAAAAAAGCAGTTTATATGTTGGAATAGACCTCCACAGGGTCAGTGGTGCTGCTGGTTGCGTGTGACAGGTGATACACATCTGAAAGAGAAACTCACTTTTAGACTTCACTTTAGTTTTGTACAAACAAAAAAACTACAAACTGAATCCTTACCTCGTCTGCCAGGGAGTCTGCTGAGGAGTGCACTGAAGGCACCGGAACTGGTGCTCTGCAATAACAAAAATATATACTTGTCATTATTCATTCACACTGTACTGGGTGGTGGTGAGCTAGTGTAACCACAGCTGCCCTGAGACATAGGCTGCCAATCTGCACCATCAGCCCCTCTGACCACCATCAATCATTCACACCACTCTAATACTAGGCAATAAGGGTGAAGTGTCTTGCCTAAGAACACAATGACCGAACTTGGTCCAAGTAGAAATCGATCCATCCCTCTCAAGATTCAAGACTTTCATTATCACAAAAAACAACAAAATTATGTTTTTAGATAATCAAACGCTACATAGTTCTCAAACTGTAACACAAGCACTTTCTGGTGGTACTCAGGCTTCTCTGCATCACATAGTGTATATAGCTTAAAAATATTAAGCTTCCTGCCAAATTCTGCATCGACTATAAGATCCTTCTTCCTTACAAAGCCCTCCACAATCTTGCATCTCCTTACCTGTCCAACCTCTTCCACCCTTACACTCCCTCATGTTCCCTGGACTCTCTTATCTGGTCCAGTCTGTTTTTTTTGTTTTTACTTGTAAGGTGACCTCCATTCAATAAAATGCATTATCATTATTATCAAAATGGAACTAGATACCTAAAGTCCTCCCTGAACAGCAGTTCACACAGAGCTTTTTAACTAGACAAGACTAGGCTAAAGGGCAGAGTGAGGGGGTGCTCTGGACTATTGACTTACTCTTCGATTGGAGCCAGAACCAGATGATACCATTGCTGGTGATTTTCTTAACAGGGTGGCACGGATCTAAACGCACAAATTCAGGCATTTATGAGCAATTGTGAAAAATCAATTGTTAAATGTCCTATATACACAAATGGATTCTTGTGAGCTTTTTGTCATGTTATAATGCTGTTACCGCATCAAAAACATACAAAGAGGTGTGTTTTGTTTCATTCACACATGTTTGAGTAATCCTGCATTATTAGTCTGTCTACATCTCCAAAGCTCAAAATGCTCTGTTCCACCTTGTGATGTCATGAAGCGGTAGTTAACAGCTACATTTTACCTTTAGTTCAGTAGAGATTGGAAATTCCAGGGCTAAAACTATCCACAGGATTTTAGTGAAATTGTATGCAGGGGTTGTGTGTTAAACGTGTGTGAATGAAACAAAACACCAGGTATGTTTTTGATGAGGAAAGAATATATAAAATAGATTATAAAATATGCGTCCTTTAACTGATTATTTTGTAAATAAACTTACCTTGGAATCAAAGAGTGTTCCAAAGATTAAAATAAATAAACCCTGTAAAGAAACAGTACATGCATTTCATTATTGATCAGTATAGTACAATGTTCATATCACTTTACATGGAGTTGAACTAATGTAAGCAAACAGTGACTTGTGTAATACACAAAACATTTCTGTTTGAGTATCTGACACGTATACTGTTTTTGCTTTGCCTAGAATGTTCTGAAGTTATCTCCCTAGAGATGAAATGGTAAAGTTACAGGTGAGTATTTATTTATTTATTTTATGTATTTTTGTATGATAAAAACACTCATAATAAGTTTAAAATAGTTAGGTTTAATGCCAAACTGTGCTGTGAAACATTCTAGGCAAAGCAATAACATCTCCATGGGAACAAGCAGGTGACGGACACCCACCTGAAAAGTGACATAGTGCACATTTAACTTGGCTCTCTGTCTTTTATTTCACTTACCTGTAAAGAATTGAAGAACGCAAATGCGATGTGGATTCCTTCATTTTTTGGCGCCACCATTGTCCCTACACCTAAAGACCAGGTCAGTCCAAATAAGGGCGTCAGAATGAGTACACAGCGCACTATCACCTTAATTGTGTGGCTATCACTTTCATTTGCCTCTCCTATACCCCCACTCCTCAGCATCTTGTACAGTACCACAAACAGAATTATAATGTTAATAAACACTATAGTTAAGGCAGGTATGACCAAGGCTAGAAGGGCCTTAGTCTCATGCCAATTGAGCCAGCATGTGTTGTATCTCCGGATGTACCCATTCCCTGGGGCGGTAGCGGCAACAGTAACCACAGCGATGATCAGCGGTCCTCCATAGCCGACGCAAAAGCCCACTGCCAACATGGTGGATTTGGACATGTGTGAGAAGACCATCACCATCCGGTAAAAAAGCAACAATCCAAACACCAGCATCCAGAAGAAAAGTGCTAAGTAGAAAAAGTGCATAAAAAACGTGGCGGTGCTGCACGGTCCAAGTGGTATTTCATAGTCCTCATTCTCCTTTTCCGGAGGTTTCTTTGCAACAAAGGCGGCAATGATGAAACATATATCAGCAATCAACAAGGAAAGAGCGGTATTTACGATGGAGACGTGTCGCATAAAAGCAGTGCTAGTTCGGGTGACAGCTTTCCAGACATACCCTTCAATAATAAGGCAAATGACCAGACTGCCCAACGATATGCCAACGCCAATGTACGTAATGATTTTCAAAGGTTCACGTATGGATTCAGGAATGTCTGTGGACATGAGAATGGAGAAGGAGGTCAGATGGTTGCACCTGCATGTTACTGTGTTGTTAATGTCTGAAAGAAATGTACATCCTTCGTCATCCCATGCTCCGAGGCCATCCAGAAGGCTGAAATTCCAAAACACGCATTGAGGATTGAGGGGAAGTGAGTCATTGCTTTTATCAAAACTCAGTGTAACGTTATTGATTTCTTGATTGACTTTAATAAGCACCACGTCTGCATTGATCACATTGTCCAAAACAACTGGCTCTGTGTCATTCTCAGTGGAGTTTGTTGTTGTAAGAAGGCTGACATTAAAACTTGCATCTCGTGCAGGCATGATGTTATTCAGTGAAGAGAAGACGATGGTTGTTATGGAGACGTTGTCGAGCTGAGAGTCGGGGATGTCCACTTGAACACTGAAGTTGAGGAGGGCGGAGTAAGAGTTATTGAATGTGGTTCTGTTGAGCATGATGCGCTGGGTTATGATAGAGAACTCCCCCTGTAGGCCTTCGGACAGGTGCTCCAGAGAACCCAGGAACTGTGAGCTGGCGTTACTACTCTTGTTTGTGTTCAGGGTCTTCCACGCAGGAGCGGCACTGTCTGAGGTGAGCTCGTCCGCCACCTCAAGGACATTCTGTAAACATGGAACATACTCATTACACTTCACTGTCACTGTAGGGAAATTATGACTCATTACAACAAAGGCCACAATGGGCAATCCCAGGGAGAAGGATCAGCCCACTCACTCATTGACTGGGATAATATACAAAACATAATAATACCATAGGTGGATTTAAGCTCACACAATGCATTCATGAAAAAGGACAAAGATGTGATCCACAAGAAGATAATCAATTGCATTTTGAAATGGCTCACCTTCATGACAGATTTTTCAACAGTCTTTGTGACGTTAGAAACTGTGTCGACAATTTCAACAATGGCCGAGATTGTTGCTGATGATCCAGTAATGGCCTCTTTCTCTGTTTCAACAGTCTCCTTCAGTTTATCTACAAAATCAGGCACTAGAACGGGATTCAAATCCTAAATCCAAAACAAGAGGCAGTCAGGTTTATCTGTATCTACTGTCTTTAGCTGTGTTCACACTTGGTCCTGGTTTGGTAATATTTTGAGTCCAGTTTAGTCTTGATGTTGACCATAGCTTGGTTCTGGTTTAGTTCTGGTTTAGTCCTGGTTTAGTGCCAGATTTGATGTAGTGTATGTGCAAGTATGATCACAGCCATAGTCAGCACTATATTTAACAGTAATGTGTACAGTTGTATTTAGCAAGTAAAAAACATATGTCTCCAGTATTGTTGGTGTAAATCTCCTTACCTCTGATTCAGTCAACAGTTCTTTGATTTCTTCCACGATGCAGGTGTCGTCCATAAGCCTCCATCTCCCACTAGTCTCACACACTGCTGTCCTGCTGCCCTCCTGCCCTGTGTCACAGCCGATGACAGAGATGTCTCCTACTCTCCCAGTCCCATATATGTTATCAACACACGCTGGTGCTGTTAGGTTACAAGAAAAGAGTTGTAAGCACAGATATAGATATAGATAAGCTGATATGTAAATAGTATTAGTGGCAAAAAAAAATAAATCTTACGTTCTGGGAACAGGGTCACTGTTGTTGTTTTTTTGTATTCCTTGAGGGTGTTCTCCTGACAAATGTATATTGTATTTTTAGTGCTATCACATTTTTTTTCTATTGGAATTTTTATGCAATATTCTCCAGTTTCTAAAGATCCCACTGTAAACACAAATATACCATGTGTTAGAATGTATTGTAATGAAGACTTCACCGAACTAAACTGAAAAACAGTAGGTTAATTCATACCATCATTTAAAGAAGTGCCACTCGAATACCATGTAACTTTGTAGTTCGACTGCACACAGCATGTTAGGTTTAGAAATGAACCGTCACATTTGGCATTTATTGCACCACTGACTCGTATATTGGGCGCTTGCTTGATGTTATTTACGGATCCTTTTTGGATGTAGTTCAGATTTGTGCCTTTCAAAGTGCACTCGTAGGATCCTGCAACAGAAAATCAACAATGACACTTTTCTGGTGGACGGTCAACCATCTGCTTGTCTCCATGGATAGGCATTATTTTGTGTGCATTGGTCTTCAGTATGACATTAATCTATCTCCATGGAGACCAAATGACACCAACAGGGGCAAATTATAGGATTAAATCTGTGGAGAGCGGACCCCACTCACATAATGTATGTTTTTGAAGGCAAGGAAACACGTGTACTTGAATAAAGACAAGGTGATGGACTGTCTATGAGAAAAGTACTTTAAACTAAAATCTATAGTAAAAGAGGTCATACTTCTCTGGTAGAGGGTCTGCTACCTACTTGTGTCTATGGAGATGGTTATTGCTGTGCCTGGAATGTTCCATAGTATGACATTAAACATATCCAACTATCATTAATTCATTGCAGGTTTCTACTGATAAATGATTTGATTTAATAGAGGCATCTCTCCACAGATCTGAATTGTAATGTTCTATAGTGCTGTAATGTGCTTGTCTCCCTTGTGACAGAGGTGGCAGATCCTCCACTAGAAATGTTACGCAGTGCACGGTCAATAAAGCATCAACAATAGCAGTTTTTAAGCTTAATTAGTGAATTGAAGTGTAGTTGTTATGAATTATCACTGCATTTTCTGTTTGGATATTTCTGTTTAAAAATATATAACTGCAATTACTCACCCTTATCTGCCAGAATCACTTCATTGACAGTGAGAGATGATTCTAAATTGTTTCTGCTTATAGAATATCGACGACCATCTCTCAAAGTAACACCTTTAAACTTCCATTCCACACCATCAAGCACACCCAGGTCGATGTCCGAAGGTGGGGGCCCACATTTCAGTGTCATGCTTTTACCAGTGTAGGTGGATTGGGGGAAAGTAAGTGATTCAGATGCTTTAAGAGAGAGAGAGAGAAAAATAATCTTAATCTTTAATCTTTATCTTAAAATCCAGGTATTTTGTTTCTGCTACTAACCTGTAAAAGAAACAGTGACAGAGCCAATGACGGGAGCAACCCCCTTCATGGCATCAGGTATTTTTGCATTTGCTGCAGTCACTTCGTCACTGTTAATCTGAGAGGTCTCAACAGTATACTCTGTTACTATACTGCCGGGCCTGTAACAGAGAAAGCAATGTTAGAAATCGACTTAATAAAATATGATATAGATAGTTGAATGGTTTGGATGTATATCAGAACTAGTAAGATCGTAAGGTAAAGTTAAGGGTGCACTTTTCTTGTCTCCATGGACATGAGATGGTTTGCTTGTAATGTTCCACAGTATGTCTTTAAACCCATCCATCTTGCATTCATTCATTTACTAAAAAAATAAAACTGTGAAAAATACACGCTCCCTGTGAGCAGGATTTGGATTGCTTCCCCACAAATCTGACCTTTAAATTGGCCTCTTGGCATTATCTTACTGTATAACATTCCAAGCAATGCAATAACATCTCCATGAAGACAAGCAGACTGTGTAGCTTCACCAGAATTATTACCACTTCACTGTGACTAATAACATGTATAATAATTATCATTGTGGCAGTGAAGTTGGTATTCAGCCTTTTGAAAAATTTAAAATTACTTTTAACATTATAACAACAAAAAGTATTGGCGCTTTACTTAAGTACAAGTAAAATTGTATACTAAGTATTCTTAGAAGAACAAAGATCTTACTTGAAAGCATTTATACTAACTCCCCTGAACCCTCTGAGGCTCTTGTATTCATTGTCCAGCTATTGAAAAAACAAACATTGTGAGATGAAATATTTTGAGTATTGATATAATAATTGACATTGTATAAGAAAACAAAAACAAAAACTCTTACCACAGGATGAACTTGATTCCTAAGATTTTTGAAGGCTTGACTTGATGTGTCAGCTAGTTCGGGTTGATATTGTTTATCTAATTTTATTGACATTTCTAGCTTCTTTCCTGTTAATAAGACAAAGAAATACAAAAAAGTCTTAACATTTTTCATCAATGATATTTAGGATTCCTATCACAATACTAACCAAAGAATCACCTGCTGGATTACATAATGGATCAAAACATTTCATTACTGGTATTACAGAATTTGCTATGAAACTCTTTTTCTCATTCTTTTTTTCATCTCAAAAAATCAAATATGCCTTCAATATACAAAGTATACTCTATTGTATACACTATTGTATACCCTATTCTCATACAACTGCACAACAAACCACTCTTATGTAATAGATAACTCTATCACCTGTCAATCATTGTTTGATCTGTGCACAGTTTCTTCTTAGGACCTCTTGTATATCGCTGAGATATCTTTCTATATATTTTATTTTTACCTGTACATATATATAATTATGCCTTATTTGACACCAGTCTCTTACTGTTTTTGCTACTTATTTTGAATTGTTTATTACCATTGTTGCTCTTTGTTCTTATAATATATTGTGATGTGTGAGGTACTGTGTCCAAATAATTTCCCTTGTGGGTTAATAAGGTCTCTAAGTCTAAGTCTAACATTGTTTCCCCTTTTATTTCACTACTGCGCCAATTTATTGCAGGTTAAACTTTAGCTTATTTGCAGAATTGAACTACCAACCTCCTTTGTTGGAGTATATCAAGTCACTGCCAATATATGTTTTACTAATATAGCACTATATATGTCGGTGTGCATTGTTTAAAACCTTTTACCTTTTGGAGGAGTTGTTGTTGGAGGAATTGTTGTGGGAGGAACTGTTGGAGGAATTGTTGTAGGAGGAATTGTTGTGGGAGGAATTGTTGTGGGAGGAATTGTTGTGGGAGGAACTGTTGTGGGAGGAATTGTTGTGGGAGGAATTGTTGTGGGAGGAATTGTTGTGGGAGGAATTGTTGTGGGAGGAATTGTTGTGGGAGGAATTGTTGTAGGAGGAATTGTTGTAGGAGTAGTTGTTGTAGGAGTAGTTGTTGTTTCGAAAGGCGGATCATGGGTCACTTCTGTAGTAATAGTTGTATTTGTAGAAGTCATAGTAGTGGGAATAGTAGTAGGTGTAGTTGTAGTGGTAGTTTTTATTGTTGTTGTAGGAGTTGTAGTAGTTATAGTAGTGGGAATAGTAGTAGTTGTAATTGTAGTTGTAGTAGTGGGCATAGGTGTAGTTGTGGTGGGAGTAGTAGTATTGATAATATTTGGAGTTGTAGTATTTGTGGTAGTAGTGGGAATATGGGTTGCAGTAGTATTAATAGGAGGAGTGGGAGTATAAGTAGGAGTGGTAGTATTTGGAAAAATAGTTGTAGTGTTGGGATCTGTAGTTGTAGTATTTGAAAACATAGTTGTAGTACTGGGAGCTGTACTTGTAGTAGTGGGAGCTGTAAATGTAGTATTTGGAAAAGTAGTTGTAGTACTGGGAGCTGTACTTGTAGTAGTGGGAACTGTAGATGTAGTATTAGGGAAAGGAGTTGTAGTATTGGGGAAAGGAGTTGTAGTATTGGGGAAAGGAGTTGTAGTATTGAGGAAAGGAGTTGTAGTATTAGGCAAAAGAGTTGTAGTATTAGGGAAAGGAGTTGTAGTATTGGGAAAAGGAGTTGTAGTATTGGGAAAAGGAGTTGTAGTATTGGGGAAAGGAGTTGTGCTATCAGGGAAAGGAGTTGTAGTATTGGGGAAAGGAGTTGTAGTATTAGAGAAAGGAGTTGTAGTATTAGGCAAAAGAGTTGTAGTATTGGGGAAAAGAGTTGTAGTATTGAGGAAAGGAGTTGTAGTATTAGGGAAAGGAGTTGTAGTATTGGGGAAAGGAGTTGTAGTATTAGGGAAAGGAGTTGTAGTATTGGGGAAAGTCGTTGTATTATTAGGCAAAAGAGTTGTAGTATTGAGGAAAGGAGCTATAGTATTAGGCAATAGAGTTGTAGTATTGGAGAAAGGAGTTGTGGTATTGAGGAAAGGAGTTGTAGTATTGGGGAAAGGAGTTGTAGTATTAGGGAAAGGAGCTGTAGTATTGGGGAAAGGAGTTGTAGTATTGGGGAAAGGAGTTGTAGTATTGGGGAAAGGAGTTGTAGTATTGGGGAAAGGAGTTGTAGTATTGGGGAAAGGAGTTGTAGTATTGGGGAAAGGAGTTGTAGTATTGGGGAAAGGAGTTGTAGTATTGGGGAAAGGAGTTGTAGTATTAGGGAAAGGAGTTGTAGTATTGGGAAAAGGTAGTATTGGGGAAAGGAGTTGTAGTATTGGGGAAAGGAGTTGTAGTATTGGGGAAAGGAGTTGTAGTATTGGGGAAAGGAGTTGTAGTATTGGGGAAAGGAGTTGTAGTATTGGGGAAAGGAGTTGTAGTATTAGGGAAAGGAGTTGTTGTATTCGGGGCAGTAGTGGCGATGGTAGTAGTTGATGTCACTGTAAACAAAAGAAAATATAATTATTAGTTACCAGAAAAATATCTGAAAAAAGACAAATTCTGGACAAACTTGAGCTGAACTTTAGCATAAGATCAGACATTGCCTTAAAAAAAGAGATTATGCGCAACAGAAATGGTGACACATATATTGTAACATTACCTGTAGTTTGCAGAGGTGTGAATGGCACAGAAGTAGTTGATGGACAGACTGTGAAGTCTGGTAAAAACACAGATAATTATGGGTAAGTTCTTCTCTCTTGTATAATCTTTACTGATGTGCAGTATTGTTAGTACAGAACTTACTGCTGTCAAGAGGCTGGCACTGCTGTCCATCCGGAGGAAGACCATGGATGCATCCACAGGTGTCATTAGAGATGCTGTCACATGACCCATAGGATACACACAAGTCACATGGCCATCGGTACTGCTCCTCACATGTGCACTGGTAACTGTTGTTGTTTGGTGTACACACTGGACAAATAGACAAACACAATAATTTCAGTTCAGTTTTTAAACACTGAATGTCGTCAACATGTTCCAAAAGGCACTGTCTTCAATTACTATTTCTTTGCTTTCCTGGAGTTCTTCAGTGTTGTCTCTGATAAAACGCCACAGAAACCTGGACTTAATGACTATACATCAAGTGTTTAGATCCCAGATCTGTGGCCTCTGCCAGGTTGCATTTTGGTTGTTAAATTACTCACAACACAAGCAAAATGTATTTTTTTAGTCTTAACTCCCTGGAAATGTAATTCAGGATCTTATCTGTAAAACTTGTGGATCATTGATTTCCTGATGAGCCAAAGGCAATTTGGAAAAATGTCTCTCATAGTCCAAACATCAGCACTGGTCACCCTCAAGGGTGTGTATTATCACCTCTGCTCTTTTAACTTTACACATATTCCTGTCCCTTTATTTACCAGTCAGTAAAAACTGATGAAGTCTGGAACAATGCAACAGCTGAATGCCCATAAGAAAGTGGACATTATGGTGGACTATAGGAACATTACAGTGCTAGTGCCTCTTCTTCCTGAAAGACAATCCATATTACAACAGAGAACATTTCCTGGGGACTATGACTCAGCCGAACATCAGCTCCTTCAGCAAGAAAACCCAGTAGTGGATTTAGTTCTTAGGTTCAAAGTAATCTCACCTGTAGAAATATCAACACTGTTGATGCGTATGTTGTTGTGGACACTGATGGGGTAAGAGTTGTTTCTCAAAACGTTCCTCAGCTGATTTATCAGTGCTGAGTCTGTAGTGTTCAACACAACAGAAACGATGTATCTATGAAGAAACGCAGGAGCTGTAAAGGACACAATGAGAAATGGGTCAAACATTGTGATAATTTCAGGACTGAAGGCAGCTGTTGTTTAAGATACAGTTTAGGTTTTTCCTACAAATATAAATGGACTGAGTGATCATTGCTACTCACTGGTGATTACAGTGGAGGAAACTGTTGTAGGTGATGTTGTGTTCATCTGTGTTGTATCTGTGAAGATAGTTACAACATGATGTTGTTGCATTAGAGGTGGTTGCAATGAGAAATATAGAAATATGAATATTTTAGTTTAAAAAAATACATAACAAGATCACATTCATTATGTGGTCGCAGAATATGAATTTTATACATTGTGGACCCCCAAATATCCCCACTGGTTACCTGTAGTTGGCACCGATGTAGTTGATGGACAGACTGTGAAGTCTGTTGAAGAACACAGATAATTATGGGTAAGTTCTTCTCTCTTGTATAATCTTTACTGATGTGCAGTATTGTTAGTACAGAACTTACTGCTGTCAAGAGGCTGGCACTGCTGTCCATCCGGAGGAAGACCATGGATGCATCCACAGGTGTCATTAGAGATGCTGTCACATGACCCATAGGATACACACAAGTCACATGGCCATCGGTACTGCTCCTCACATGTGCACTGGTAACTGTTGTTGTTTGGTGTACACACTGGACAAATAGACAAACACAATCATTTCAGTTCAGTTTTTAAACACTGAATGTCGTCAACATGTTCCAAAAGGCACTGTCTTCAATTACTATTTCTTTGCTTTCCTGGAGTTCTTCAGTGTTGTCTCTGATAAAACGCCACAGAACCCTGGACTTAATGACTATACATCAAGTGTTTAGATCCCAGATCTGTGGCCTCTGCCAGGTTGCATTTTGGTTGTTAAATTACTCACAACACAAGCAAAATGTATTTTTTTAGTCTTAACTCCCTGGAAATGTAATTCAGGATCTTATCTGTAAAACTTGTGGATCATTGATTTCCTGATGAGCCAAAGGCAATTTGGAAAAATGTCTCTCATAGTCCAAACATCAGCACTGGTCACCCTCAAGGGTGCGTATTATCACCTCTGCTCTTTTAACTTTACACATATTCCTGTCCCTTTATTTACCAGTCAGTAATAACTGATGAAGTCTGGAACAATGCAACAGCTGAATGCCCATAAGAAAGTGGACATTATGGTGGACTATAGGAACATTACAGTGCTAGTGCCTCATTCTTCCTGACAGACAATCCCTATTATCCCAGAGAACATTTCCTGGGGACTATGACTCAGCCGAACATCAGCTCCTTCAGCAAGAAAACCCAGTAGTGGATTTAGTTCTTAGGTTCAAAGTAATCTCACCTGTAGAAATATCAACACTGTTGATGCGTATGTTGTTGTGGACACTGATGGGGTAAGAGTTGTTTCTCAAAACGTTCCTCAGCTGATTTATCAGTGCTGAGTCTGTAGTGTTCAACACAACAGAAACGATGTATCTATGAAGAAACGCAGGAGCTGTAAAGGACACAATGAGAAATGGGTCAAACATTGTGATAATTTCAGGACTGAAGGCAGCTGTTGTTTAAGATACAGTTTAGGTTTTTCCTACAAATATAAATGGACTGAGTGATCATTGCTACTCACTGGTGATTACAGTGGAGGAAACTGTTGTAGGTGATGTTGTGTTCATCTGTGTTGTATCTGTGAAGATAGTTACAACATGATGTTGTTGCATTAGAGGTGGTTGCAATGAGAAATATAGAAATATGAATATTTTTGTTTAAAAAAATACATAACAAGATCACATTCATTATGTGGTAGCAGAATATGAATTTTATACATTGTGGACCCCCAAATATCCCCACTGGTTACCTGTAGTTGGCACCGATGTAGTTGATGGACAGACTGTGAAGTCTGTTGAAGAACACAGATAATTATGGGTAAGTTCTTCTCTCTTGTATAATCTTTACTGATGTGCAGTATTGTTAGTACAGAACTTACTGCTGTCAAGAGGCTGGCACTGCTGTCCATCCGGAGGAAGACCATGGATGCATCCACAGGTGTCATTAGAGATGCTGTCACATGACCCATAGGATACACACAAGTCACATGGCCATCGGTACTGCTCCTCACATGTGCACTGGTAACTGTTGTTGTTTGGTGTACACACTGGACAAATAGACAAACACAATCATTTCAGTTCAGTTTTTAAACACTGAATGTCGTCAACATGTTCCAAAAGGCACTGTCTTCAATTACTATTTCTTTGCTTTCCTGGAGTTCTTCAGTGTTGTCTCTGATAAAACGCCACAGAAACCCTGGACTTAATGACTATACATCAAGTGTTTAGATCCCAGATCTGTGGCCTCTGCCAGGTTGCATTTTGGTTGTTAAATTACTCACAACACAAGCAAAATGTATTTTTTTAGTCTTAACTCCCTGGAAATGTAATTCAGGATCTTATCTGTAAAACTTGTGGGTCATTGATTTCCTGATGAGCCAAAGGCAATTTGGAAAAATGTCTCTCATAGTCCAAACATCAGCACTGGTCACCCTCAAGGGTGTGTATTATCACCTCTGCTCTTTTAACTTTACACATATTCCTGTCCCTTTATTTACCAGTCAGTAATAACTGATGAAGTCTGGAACAATGCAACAGCTGAATGCCCATAAGAAAGTGGACATTATGGTGGACTATAGGAACATTACAGTGCTAGTGCCTCATTCTTCCTGACAGACAATCCCTATTATCCCAGAGAACATTTCCTGGGGACTATGACTCAGCCGAACATCAGCTCCTTCAGCAAGAAAACCCAGTAGTGGATTTAGTTCTTAGGTTCAAAGTAATCTCACCTGTAGAAATATCAACACTGTTGATGCGTATGTTGTTGTGGACACTGATGGGGTAAGAGTTGTTTCTCAAAACGTTCCTCAGCTGATTTATCAGTGCTGAGTCTGTAGTGTTCAACACAACAGAAACGATGTATCTATGAAGAAACGCAGGAGCTGTAAAGGACACAATGAGAAATGGGTCAAACATTGTGATAATTTCAGGACTGAAGGCAGCTGTTGTTTAAGATACAGTTTAGGTTTTTCCTACAAATATAAATGGACTGAGTGATCATTGCTACTCACTGGTGATCACAGTGGAGGAAACAGTTGTAGGTGATGTTGTGTTCATCTGTGTTGTATCTGTGAAGATAGTTACAACATGATGTTGTTGCATTAGAGGTGGTTGCAATGAGAAATATAGAAATATGAATATTTTTGTTTAAAAAAATACATAACAAGATCACATTCATTATGTGGTAGCAGAATATGAATTTTATACATTGTGGACCCCCAAATATCCCCACTGGTTACCTGTAGTTGGCACCGATGTAGTTGATGGACAGACTGTGAAGTCTGTTGAAGAACACAGATAATTATGGGTAAGTTCTTCTCTCTTGTATAATCTTTACTGATGTGCAGTATTGTTAGTACAGAACTTACTGCTGTCAAGAGGCTGGCACTGCTGTCCATCCGGAGGAAGACCATGGATGCATCCACAGGTGTCATTAGAGATGCTGTCACATGACCCATAGGATACACACAAGTCACATGGCCATCGGTACTGCTCCTCACATGTGCACTGGTAACTGTTGTTGTTTGGTGTACACACTGGACAAATAGACAAACACAATCATTTCAGTTCAGTTTTTAAACACTGAATGTCGTCAACATGTTCCAAAAGGCACTGTCTTCAATTACTATTTCTTTGCTTTCCTGGAGTTCTTCAGTGTTGTCTCTGATAAAACGCCACAGAAACCTGGACTTAATGACTATACATCAAGTGTTTAGATCCCAGATCTGTGGCCTCTGCCAGGTTGCATTTTGGTTGTTAAATTACTCACAACACAAGCAAAATGTATTTTTTTAGTCTTAACTCCCTGGAAATGTAATTCAGGATCTTATCTGTAAAACTTGTGGATCATTGATTTCCTGATGAGCCAAAGGCAATTTGGAAAAATGTCTCTCATAGTCCAAACATCAGCACTGGTCACCCTCAAGGGTGCGTATTATCACCTCTGCTCTTTTAACTTTACACATATTCCTGTCCCTTTATTTACCAGTCAGTAATAACTGATGAAGTCTGGAACAATGCAACAGCTGAATGCCCATAAGAAAGTGGACATTATGGTGGACTATAGGAACATTACAGTGCTAGTGCCTCATTCTTCCTGACAGACAATCCCTATTATCCCAGAGAACATTTCCTGGGGACTATGACTCAGCCGAACATCAGCTCCTTCAGCAAGAAAACCCAGTAGTGGATTTAGTTCTTAGGTTCAAAGTAATCTCACCTGTAGAAATATCAACACTGTTGATGCGTATGTTGTTGTGGACACTGATGGGGTAAGAGTTGTTTCTCAAAACGTTCCTCAGCTGATTTATCAGTGCTGAGTCTGTAGTGTTCAACACAACAGAAACGATGTATCTATGAAGAAACGCAGGAGCTGTAAAGGACACAATGAGAAATGGGTCAAACATTGTGATAATTTCAGGACTGAAGGCAGCTGTTGTTTAAGATACAGTTTAGGTTTTTCCTACAAATATAAATGGACTGAGTGATCATTGCTACTCACTGGTGATTACAGTGGAGGAAACTGTTGTAGGTGATGTTGTGTTCATCTGTGTTGTATCTGTGAAGATAGTTACAACATGATGTTGTTGCATTAGAGGTGGTTGCAATGAGAAATATAGAAATATGAATATTTTTGTTTAAAAAAAATACATAACAAGATCACATTCATTATGTGGTCGCAGAATATGAATTTTATACATTGTGGACCCCCAAATATCCCCACTGGTTACCTGTAGTTGGCACCGATGTAGTTGATGGACAGACTGTGAAGTCTGTTGAAGAACACAGATAATTATGGGTAAGTTCTTCTCTCTTGTATAATCTTTACTGATGTGCAGTATTGTTAGTACAGAACTTACTGCTGTCAAGAGGCTGGCACTGCTGTCCATCCGGAGGAAGACCATGGATGCATCCACAGGTGTCATTAGAGATGCTGTCACATGACCCATAGGATACACACAAGTCACATGGCCATCGGTACTGCTCCTCACATGTGCACTGGTAACTGTTGTTGTTTGGTGTACACACTGGACAAATAGACAAACACAATCATTTCAGTTCAGTTTTTAAACACTGAATGTCATCAACATGTTCCAAAAGGCACTGTCTTCAATTACTATTTCTTTGCTTTCCTGGAGTTCTTCAGTGTTGTCTCTGATAAAACGCCACAGAAACCTGGACTTAATGACTATACATCAAGTGTTTAGATCCCAGATCTGTGGCCTCTGCCAGGTTGCATTTTGGTTGTTAAATTACTCACAACACAAGCAAAATGTATTTTTTTAGTCTTAACTCCCTGGAAATGTAATTCAGGATCTTATCTGTAAAACTTGTGGATCATTGATTTCCTGATGAGCCAAAGGCAATTTGGAAAAATGTCTCTCATAGTCCAAACATCAGCACTGGTCACCCTCAAGGGTGTGTATTATCACCTCTGCTCTTTTAACTTTACACATATTCCTGTCCCTTTATTTACCAGTCAGTAAAAAGTGATGAAGTCTGGAACAATGCAACAGCTGAATGCCCATAAGAAAGTGGACATTATGGTGGATTATAGAAACATTACAGTGCTAGTGCCTCATTCTTCCTGACAGACATAGCCCCTCTTACAGTGACAGTGCAATCTGGCTTCACTTGCAAACTGAAATCCACCAGTAATTCTCAACAAAAAAGGAAAATTTGTGTAAAAGTTTGTAAGAGCTCAAGTTTACCTGTTGTGATGTCAATTTCAGATATCTTCACTTGTGAATTGATTTGAACAGGTAAAGTGATTGCTTGTAGACTGTTTCTCAGTTGATCAAAGTCCGTAGTTCCAAGCTCTATTATGACTTCATATTCAAATATAGTCTGAGGGGGGTCTGAAAAAAACATAATTATTATTTTGCCATTTAGTCATGTGATGATCATACTTCCCAATAGAGTGCAAAACATGTTGTTGTTATTAATTACATTGGATTTTCATGACATATATCTTAATGGGAAATTCATTAAAGCTCTTGTATTATGCAAATTTGATTCTATAAAGCTTTTAAGCATGTTAATGCCAATTTTGTTACCTCCTGGAGTTTTATTTTGTTTCATTTACTTTCTCATTCTCCAAAATGCAAAATGTTCAGTTCCATCTTGTTATGTCATGAACTGGTTATTTTCAAAATGGCTAGCTTTTAGCTTTTTGTCTAATAGAGATTGGCAATTCCAGGTTATCCAGATGAGTTTGTATAAAGGGGATTGGGGTTTAAAAACTCAGCAGAGCTGTCCTATATTTTCACATAACATCACAAGGTGGAACATTGTTTTCTGTTTGAGAGAAGAACTAAATATCCTGGTTTTGTGTGCTAAATGTGTGAATGAAACAAAACACAACTCCAGGCATGGTTTTGATGACCAAACAACATTAAAGCACAGAACAGAAAATAGCATAACATGGAACTTGATTTATTTTTTTATTTTTTTTATTTTTTTTCATTTTTTCTTTTAAGTGACCAGGACCTCCTTTCATGGCTTCATTGTCAGCCTTACCTTGTTTGGGTTGACAGTACAGTCCATCAGAGGGGATTTTATTTATACATGTGCAGGCGTCATTAATCATTTCATCACAAGCTCCATATGTAAGACAGCTGTTATAGGACCACACAAATTGATCTTCACATCTGCACTGGAATTCCGAGCCATTTTGGGAACACACTGAAAATAGAAGAAAATTTAAAACACATGATATCAAGGGCAAGCAATAATGTGAGTTCTGCGGAGAGGTGATCTTTCTGTAAAAACTATTGAAACACCTATATTGAAGTAAATGTAAGATGGACATTCTAGGGAAAAACAATGACATCTCCATGGAGAGAAGCAGGTATCAGGAAAAGTGCTCCTTTAATGTGATCTAGAGCTTGCTTCCCCACAAACCTTGCATTTAACACAACTTTGTGGCATCACCTGCTTGTTAATACCATGCTGTGGTCATTTCCAGGCAAATCAATAACCTCTTAATTGAGACTAACAGGTTGATGGACCCACCACCAAAAAAATTACATAGTGCAACTTTAAATACCAAACCAAAACCAAACCAAACCAAAAAAAAAAAAGAAAGAAAGAAAAAAGACAGACAGAAAGAAAAGATTAATAGAAAAAAAAAATGATGCTTATATTTATTCATGAATACAAAAATATTTAGTCAATATACAGTATAGAGTCAAAATTTACTGTTTTATGTAAGTAGTAAGACTTCACAGTGTAAGAAAAAATCTACTGTCTACAAACCAGTCAAATCAGTATAAAAGCACACATGTACCTGTAGTTATTTCGATGTGTGTGAGGTTGAGAGAGGGGCCCAGGGTCAGGGAGAAGTTGCCACTCTGTAGTAATGTCCGAAGTCTGTCCACTGTCTCAAAGTCTGTAACATTAAGCTCCACATCCACCTCATACTCTGTCACTGAGTTCAGATCTGAAGAGGCTATAGAGCAGAACAACAATGTATTTTAATATAGTTCCATCACTTTTGTTCTGAAAACTATTAGTGCATTACATTAGATACATTCCAGGTTCATTAAAGGGGCAATGTTTAACATTTCTAGTAGAGGGTCCATCAATTTCCATTTCCTTTTCTTCATCTTATTGCTTCATCTGGAATGTTTGTATTGTATTTTGCATTTCTATCTTCATGGACACCAAACCAGACCAAGTTACAGGTCAGATCTATGGAGAGGCAACCCCACTCACAGTCAGAATGCCTGTTTTATTAGGTATTTTTGAGCTATTAAATCACTTGGAATTGAATAAATGTAAGGTAGAGCTGTTGAATGTCATACTGTGGAACATTACAGGCAGAAAAATGACATTTCCATAAACAAACAGGTGAAGGACCCCCTTCCAAAAAGTTACATAGTACATCTTTAAGAATCTTCATTATTTACAACCATTATTAGAAAGCACCATCCACCATCCTTGTTTGGAGGACCCCCTTGAAAACGAGATGGTGACACATCTCAAGGGGCTTATCCTCCAAACAAATAAATTCAAATTCAAATTCAAACAGAGTAATATGCGTTTTGTACACAGAGGCCAGAATTTTGGGATTAAAATGGTTTATTTTAATCATTCAACACAACTGTTTAAAAACACTGTATGTAACCTTGTGGAGGTGGGACGTCATCTGCATGATTCCATGGAAATAGAAAGTTAAAACCATACATAAAAGTTTTATGGCAAACTGTGGAAGATTATAGCCACAGGAATTATATTTCCATGGATTCAATAGGAAGAGGCCCTCAGATAAGAGTCAGGTATGTTTTAGATATAAGGCTGTTCACAGTAAACACCCACACACACACACACACACACACACACACACACACACACACAAAATCAATCTATTTTTTGGCTAAAAAGTTACACACTGTGGCATTAATGAAGGTTTTATATATCAGATTCTTTTCTATCAGATTATTTTTTCTTTTTAAAATTTGTAAAATTTGTAAGTAAGGTAACAGAAATTAAGTATATTATAAGACACGTATAGTCTGCGAAAGCAATCATAGCTTCATTTCTTTGTATTTCAGTATAATAGCAATATCATTGTATTATTGTTAATAATGGTCTGTACTGTGTCATACTGACCCTCTCTCTTTTGTCTTGTGTGAAGTAGAACATCGTCATCTTCATTTGGCTCCTGAGACAAACATAATAAATCAAAGTTCCATTCACGATTTATTGTGATCTATAAACATGATCCCTTATTTTGTGTCGGGGTGGTAACCTTGGCAAACATACCGGTGAAAGAAGGCTGAAGATCTGAGTCACCTTTTCTGTTTCCAAAATACAGATTATCACCACCACAGCTGCAATGAGAGTCCAGCCATTCTTGGAAATGGCCATACCTTGAACAAAAGATCATCATGACAGTTCATTTATGTATTCATAAAATACCTAGCACTACACAGTTAGCCACATTCGCCTAAAGCACCAGTATGCACAGTCAAAATGTGGATTTTTAACAGATTTTTTGAGTTATAAGATTAATAAAATGAAATATAAACTGCAAATTCATCCATGTTCCCTCAACATATTTTGCAGTGTGTATGTTATTTAAAATTTTTTTAAAGGTCCAGAAATCAGAAAATAAGCAGATTTATGGTGTGCATAGCATAGAGTCAAGAAGAAGCCTCAGTACTGTTTAGACTTTTAAAGCTGCCCAGTGTAACATTTCTATGGATTGTATGCCCTGCGTGGGTCACCATGGAGATGTTATTACATTGCTTGGAATGTTCCACAGAATGGCATTAAACCACAGACTGTATAAAGCAGTGGATTAAGGGAGTGTGATGTCACTCGCAGCATTCAGCTCCAGTCAAATGAAATTGACAGTACTAGCAGTTATAGGAGCTGAAATTGGAGCCAGGTCCATATTGAGAGAGATTCCAGCAGCCACAGACTGCACAGAATTTAAGCATTTTGGCGTCGAGTGAATGGAGGTAAACGATGTTCTGTGAGTTTGTCTTTCCTTCCTGTTCCCCATCTGCTTTTTGTTACGTTGACGTGACATCATCTGAAATCAGCAGTTAGGAATAGGAATTTATTTACATACAAATTAGTGAAATAAAAACACCAGGGTCATGTAGAGAGGACTGATATGAACATCTTAAGACCGAATGAAGGGGCTCATGCATATGGTTTAAAGTCAGTTGGAAACTGAGTCAATGGAGTCAGAAAAGCCCCTATGAACACTTCCTCTTTGGAAAGCGGCTAGCAGGTTATCTATGTCCCTTCATATATAAGGTCTTTGCCAGGGGTCTCCAACCTTTTTCCCCTGGTGAACAACCTTTATGAAACAAAAATGCCAGAGAGCTACTCATTTTAGCAGTCGCAAGAAATTGAGAAAGTAGAAGAACTAAACAGAGGGTACAGTTAGATGCCTATTAAATATAAACCATTATCCATTTGTTAGGCATCAAAATGACACATATACAACTGCAATTAATCAGATTTTATTTATTAAGCACAATACACATATACATACTCAGAAATCCTTTGGCGAGCTACTTGGAAAGGGGTGGAGAGCTGCTGGTAGCTCCTGAGCTACAGGTTGGAGACCCCTGATCTATGCATTAAACATAACATGACAGGTGTTACTGCTTAAAAACTATGAGAAAAATGTTGCCTCACCTCAGATCTGACCTGTAACTTTATGGCATCACCTGCTTGTCTCCACGGAGAGAAATGACTTTAATGCTATACTGTGGAACGCTCTAGCAATATATGCAATATCAGGAGTTAGGCAAGTGGTTGAAGTTACCTTATATTCTTTAGGGATGTTTTGTGCTTTTGAGTATTTCTGCCAATAGATCTCCTCTTTTTCTTGCTAAACGTTGATATGAGGATTTATACAGTAAACTGATAGGCCATTGTTAACCAGGACTCATTTCATTTTCAGACAAGTGCATATTAAAGGATTATGTTTCAAGTTGTTCATTCGTCATTACCTCTAATGGAGCTTCAGAAGAACGTCAAATACAATGGACAATGCAGCCGCCGTATCATGTTGGCTACTCAAACCAGCAGCAGGGCACATCAAAAATGTACGCCAAGAAACCTAGAAATATAACAAAAAATTTAACATTAGGGATCTGACTGTGTATAATTGGACTTATAAACATCAATTTGCTATAAATAACTTTTTATTGTGATTCCTACAAACCAGACTCTGTAGAAACTAAAGAATTAAAGAGTTACTAAAGAGTTACCAGTTAGATGAGTTAGTTAGACATTGTCTCACATACAAAGATGTTGATTCAGCAGTGTGTGGTTAGAACCATTGAATTAGGTGCTGTCATTTCATGGGTTTTCCAGTACCTTCTATATTTAGATCATGTATTATTCTAGGTAATCTAATCCTTAACAACTGAATGCTAGCAACACATTCTCGTAAATGATGCACTTTCTTTATAGACAGTTCTTTACAGTACCTTAGTACCAGGACTACATCGAGTAAATGAATAAAAAAATGTTCTATAAAGGTGTGGAATATTAAAAACAAAGAGGAGCTACTTTGTCTGATTAAATACAATACTTATTGATAAAAAGTGTGCTTTTATAATGATATAATGACATTCATGAATGATTGTCCAAGTTTGGTGTCAAATTCAAACTTGACAATGCAGGAATAATGGACTGATACCAAAATGTTCCAGTAAATACATGAACTGGGAATGCAATGTTCTTGTTTAAAATAGCAAGCTCTTTTCTTTATTTATTAAGAGGGAATTTTAGGGCACATTTGAGTAGAAAAACTTGGACAAAATAAGTAGACTTTTTGAAATGAATGTACAGATGAAAAGAATTGTAGCTGATTCTAGGGTTGTCAAAAGTATTGAAAATCAGACTCATTTGAGCAGATATTTATACTAAAAAGTCACATTCATGGGACAGAAATGAACCTTTCCTGAATAGCTTTAGAATGATCTTGAGCTGTATCAGAACAAGTAAAAGAGCACATATACGCCCATATTATGTTGAAAATCACATCCTATTGTTTAGAGAAAGAGTATCTTAAATTATTATTGTGGTATCAGTACTGAATACCCTGAAAAACCCTCAGAAATCGAGTTTTAATTTAGCATTGTGACAACACTAGCTCATGCTTTACCAGAAAAGAAGAGTTTTAATCAGATTATCAGAATCACTAACCAGTGTGTGGTGTATTAACATTACAACATTACATTACATTTCTTTAGTTACATCAACTTGAGGTTTGTCCAATGACTACAACAATATAGTGTTTCAGATGCAAGCAGCTTCGCAGTGTTAAAAACTTTGTGCTGGTATTGGGGGAAGATGTGGGAGGATGTATTTCATTAAATGTCATTAATAGTTCATGTCTGTAAACACCAAAATGTGTTTTTTATATCTACAATAAAAAAATAAACTACATTGCAAAAAGCAACATCTAAGTTAAAATGACTTAAATTAAGAACATTTTATTATATTTGAGTAATAAATATATAAGTAAAATGATCTGAATGAATAAGGGTGTTTTCCTTAATTCAAGCAGTTTTAGATAATGTGCAAAGAGTTGTTATCTTTCTTTTATTTGTCAACTGAAATTTACTCAGATCATGATAAAACTTTCTTATTTCAAGTTTAATCTTAACTTGGCTAGACTTGGCTGACTTCCATTCAAAATGGCTTTTTTTACAGGCATAAATTTGCCAGTATATTTGTACTTTTTGATGTATTTTTCATTCTTTGGTGTTGAAAACCCTTCAAATGTTTTGTTTTAGTGTCTTTTTGAATTGTGTATCTTCCATTACATGGTTACATCAATAGAAAGACATTTGTACATATTAGTCCACACTGAAGGCCCGAGACAGAGATATTTGAGGTTAAAATTATAATTCTACTGGAGCCTCCAGCCTCCGATAATCCCAACACAGACAAATAAAAATTTCTTGAAAGATATATCATAAAAATCATATTTAAATTTTTTTTCATGCACATAATTTTATACTTTTGCTGTCAAAAATGGCATTTAAGGAGTTAAAATGTCAAAATATTATATATTTTTTGGGGGTAAGTATGATTAGGGCAGAAGTAAATGAAGACATTGATATTTATAAAGTTGGACAAAAATCCATACTGCATAAACATAATGTGTTATTCTTTTCCAGTGTACATTTTTGTCAAGAAGGAACACAGTTGTGATTATTGTAAAGGGGTGCACAAGGTTAAAGTAGCACAGAGCACATAACTAACTTGTCAAAGGTCCTGAGTGTTTACATATAACAACTGTCTTTAAAAAAAAAAACTTCAACCACCAACAGTCAGCACACAATATTATTATTACTGTCAGGCTTCAGATGACATCATAATATTCTATATTATTATGTTATACTTAATACAGACAGCTCAAAGTAAATTGTTAAAATGTTGGTTTCTATTACAGTAAAGTGAGTTTGGGGGTCTAACCACTAATAGAAATTATCAGGTTCAACATTTGTGAATTTGCCTCTTATTTCATAGGAAAGAACAATGTTACCAATAGAGAAATCTGTCTCTTGTCCTATTAGAATCTGAAAACCGCCAATACCTGTCTTAAAATATATTCTGGAGCATATCCTTATACCAATCAGAGTACTGCATTCTGAATTCTTAGAAAACTTTTATTTAGAATACTTGTAAGTCTTTATTTATATAGTGCTTTCACAGACATTTTCTGTCCCCAAAGACGCTTTACAGAGCATATTCAGCATTATTCATTCAGCATCTATACCCTGGTGATGGTAAGCTACTATTGTAGCCACAGCTGCCCTGGGGCACACTGATAGAAGCACGGCTGCCATGCCACTTGGCGCCATCGGTCCCTCCGACCACCACCACACACACCACTTTCATACTAGGCAATGTGGGCAAAGTGTCTTGCCTAAGGACACAATGATTGAATTGACTGGATTTAACTGACCTTGACTATCAACTGTTCATGGAGACCTGTAGCATGTTTTGGGTTGATGGGGGAAACCGGAGCGCCTGGAGGAAACCCATCCAGACATGGGGAGAAACATGCAAACTCCACACAGAAAGGCCCAGGCGACCCGCGGGATCAAACCCAGAACCTTCTTGCTGTGAGGCATGAGTGCTAGCCACTCAGCCACTGTGCCGCCAATACTTGTATCACTATTTGTTATGTGTTTCTGGAGGTAGAACAATCACACTTATCTCACTGATTATGTGCAGTTTGAAGCATAAATAGTGTGATCAAATAGTTCAAGTAGCTGTATTCTGAATACCACGAAATGAACCTGTACCGGAATATAGGTACTCAAAATTTGTGTTCAAACACGTATTCCCGGTATATGTACTCAGTTACTTCTCAACACTGTCAG